TTTGTGTAGCAAGAATGAGGTACAATACCACCAGGTCTTTATTTTATTGCTATTGGATGACTACATTGATTGAGCCTTTATGAGCGTACTCATTGATGGTGGCCCAATCATCGTCAGACAGGCCATGCCTGTTGTGGTGAATCCAGGGTGGACTGGTTTTTCATGAAGCAAAAAAGAATAGATAGTTGAAACAAAATGGCACTGGGGTTTTGTTTTTCTACATACCGAATCAAAAGTCATAGGGGGTCTCGCCCACATGCTGTCTGAAGGGTAATATGAAAGAAAGTGTTTGAGTTGGATGTTTGAACCAGACGTTGAGAGGGTGTTAGAGGCCCCAAGACTTAACAATTTGCCTTTGGAGAAGAATTGGGATGCGTACACTTCTGCATGAGGCCAAACAGTTGTTAGAAATAAGCTTGACATTCTGGAAATAAAGTCAGGGTTTAACCGGATGAAAGTTAAAGGGCTAGGTGACAAGGAAAGGGAGGTTAGTTTGCAGGCTGTATGGAAAATTTGGAGAGTAGACCCTAAAAGGGGATGCGTTAGAATTAGGGGCGGACTGACAACTCATGGGGCCCCGGGCAATAGGGGATCATGGGGCCCCTGTGTCCTTGCCCAAACTCAAAAAAGCCTATGAAAAAGGAACCAGGGGCATCTTATGGGGCCCCCTACTGACCCCGGGCCCTCGGGCAGTGCCCGTGTTTCCAAATAGTCAGTCCACCCCTGGTTAGAATCGATTTATCCAGCCAGTGAAAGGGAAGCTAAGGAAGCTCCGCCAGAGTGTAGAACCCCACACTTTCAGCCTGCTATGAACTTTCCAATCTACAGTCCTCTTTTAACTGGCACACTAAGAAGTATTTCCAGAGGTCAGAAAGAACAATGTGCCTATGCATTTTATTTTGTGTTGTGTTTTAATTAATTTATTGACCTACCAAAAATCAGACAAATATTTTTTCTAATATATTACCATGTGTTATGATGCGTTGCAAACCATGTCCATCGGAAATGCATTGCCTTAGTGCATTGGGTTGGCAATGAAAATGAACGTCATGGCAGTACTAATGCATGTATGGTTCATTATGTTAATTCAGGTGTTACAGGAAATAACAAAATAGATAGGTGTGAAGTTCTGCACAGCTGACACAGTCCAAACAAAGTCAAATGATGGTGTTACTCTCCCCATGCAGATTCATAAGCAAATGCTAGAGATTAAGATACATGTCAGGAGATGATTATCACACATCCACATCTTTAATAATGTAAACAAAAATAATAATTACAGTGAGTATAATGCTTTACAGTTTGTCATTGAATGGAAGCCTCTCTAAAACAATATGACTATTTAAAATATTTAAAAAGTCATACTGGTTATTTCTCCAGTTGAGCTTTCCAAGATATTTTATATAAGGCACCAATCACACATATCTACTGTATTTTATTATGTTTGCTATAACACATGAATTAACACAGCGCATCATACACACATTAGCCAAGGTGACTATTAGCCGAGAACACCGTGGCACATTCATAAGGTAAAGAATATTGATAAATGGCAATGTACCATATTACAGTATCAAGTACATTGCAGAGCTGCTTTAGGTTCTGACTCCATTTTCCACTCTTGCAGAATTCTGTGGGTGTAGGTAGAGAAGAAAATCAATATTAACAAAATTCATTAATATTTGCAGTATGCTTCTGTAACACAGGAAAGTCCAGGAGGTAGCGCATGGGGGCTAGATGCAGCAACTGCATGACCAGATGGTCCTTACTGGTGTAAGGGATCCCTTTCATTGTATTTAAAACATGTCCTGCTGTTAGTTCTATTATGGCTCATCTTTTTATGCATCATTCAGTCAAATATTTTAACCACATGTGATGCTTCTGTTTTATCTGTAATAAGTTAGTCCACTACCTGCCTTGTTATATCTGTAAAGGTAAAGACAGGCATCATGTGAATTTTCAGCTGCTGTGGAACTGTCATTGCCAGCGTGCCCTATCAGCTCCCCAACTGATGAAGGCACAGCGTGGTTGGCTAGATATGCTTGTAATACTGCAAAGCATGAGAACCTAATAATTGCCTGTTATTGCCTGGGGTGGCACAGTGGCTAAGTGGTTTGCCCTTCCACCTGGCACTTGGGTCATAGGTTCATAATCCCAACCACGGCACCATCTGCCTGGAATATGCATGTTCTCCCTGTGTCTGTTTCCTCCCACACTCCAAAGACATGCTGGTAGGTACATGGCTTCTGTCTACACTGGCCCTAGTATGTTTATGAATGAATATGAGTTAGGGGCATTGTATTGTAGAATATATATGTAAAGTGCTGTGTAAATGGATGGTGCTATATAAATACCTGTAATAAATAATTATAGTTAGGGTCTCGGGGGACAGAAGGTGGAAAAATACAGAAAGAGAGAGAGATCCCGGCACCTGATAGATTTTCATAAACTGTAGATAATGGAAAATGCAGCAGCTCCGAAGAAACTCCAAAGGTGTTGGGGAAATAAATGATGGGTAAAAACCCACTGCTGGAGCCCCCAAGAGCTACAAAAAGGTAATAATTCTAACAGCTGTTTTGGGTATACCTCTTCATGACCACCTGCCCGCATTGTACTGTGAAAAGGCGGCGGCCGCTGTAGGCAAAGTGGCATATGGGTACTTTACCGTCTACTTCTGGGTTTCAGATGCGCTAGCCCCCCCCACTGGCACCGGCTGTGATTGTGCACAGTCGGTGTCTGTCAGCAAGTCCCGTCCAATGATTCATGCCCAGGATCTGCTGATTGGCTCTGTACGATCACAGCCCAGAGCTCTCTGCTGAAATTTAACACAGAGCTCTGTACACAGGGAGAGATCTGTCAGTTTCTCATCCCTGCTAAACAGGGATGAAAAACTGATTGATCTAGTAGTAAAAGCATCACACTTTCCACACATTACACATACTTAAGCACACATTTAACTCGCTACACTTCTGCCACATTCCCACAGCCCCATTAAAAATTGCTGATTGCCGCCATTAGTAGTAATAAAAAAAATGCCAGTATACTGTATATCCCATAGTTTGTATGCGTTATAACTCTCAGACAAACCATTCATTATATACTTATTGAGATTTTTTTTAATCAAAGACATGCAGCAGAATACATTTTGGCCAAAATTTATGAAGACACTTTTTTTAATTGGATATGTTTTATAGCAGAAAGTAAAAAACTTTACTTCAAAAAATAAAAAAAAATAGTGGTGATCAAATACCACAAAAAGAAAGCTCTATTTGTTTGGGTATAGTGTTGCATGACTGCGCAATTGACATTTAAAGTAGTCCAGTGCCATATAGCAAAAAATGGCCTGGTCATGAAGGGGGTAAAATCTTCTGGAGCTGAAGTGGTTAAGCATACAGTTTCATCCCTACTGTATTAACCTGAAACATAACTGAAGGTAATATTGTATTCTGAAATGGCATCAACTTCAAATGTGTTAGGGAAAGAAACGATGGGGATAAAAACTCACTGCCGGAGTCTCCAAGAGCTACAAAATAGTCACAATTGTAACAGCTGTTTGGGTAGATTGAGCGTTTAAAATGGTGGTAAACCCCTGGACAAAGGACAAAATATTGGACCCCCTGCAGGTTTAGGTGATAATGCACACACTGTATACTAGTACATTATGACAGACTTACCTGTACACCGAACCTTCCAGCACTGCACTGTCACAGCTCCCCAGCGCCTCCATCTTCACCTGGTCTTCCTTCCAGGTTAACGGGCTCTGGCAGTATGAATGCCCAGAGCCACTGTGCTGTCCCTTCAGAACGCATGTGTTGGTGACATCAGCGGCTGCATGCTTTGTGAAAATCTCTTAAACGGTGCAAGTTTAGGAGATATTCACTTTTCCTACAGGTAAGCCTTAATATACAGTAGGCTTGCCTGTATGAACAACTTTTATATTTTTAATCCTTATGCTGCTAGCATTCGTAAATAGTTAGGAAACTATATAATTTTTACTTGTTTTAAACTATTTTTGTATGTTTCTTCAGTTTCTTCCTGGTTTTTTTTGCCTAAGCAAATTATGTTCATATATACCAGGAGTCTTATGGAGGGGTTTTTCTCAGCTAAGCACACCCTCCTGCTTGTATGCCTGAACTAAGGGCAGATGGATTCCAGGAAGTCAATGCTACATGAATCATCTGCCCTTACTCAAGATGGCTATAGACAGAAATACTAGGGGGTGTTTTCAAAGTGATTACTTAGCAAAATAAACCATGAAGACAAGGATGGATGGGGGACTGTACTTTGAATATTAAAAATAAATTAAATAGCAATTTTGCTTTGTGGTGCTGATATACAGTATAGTTTCTGCTTAAAGGCATGCAGTGTAAACTTTTCTGTATTAACCTGAAACATAAGTAAAGGTGATATTGTATTCTGAAATGTCATCAATTCCCCAACTAGAAAAGCAGAAAAAGTCAAGATGTGTGGTGGGATATCTCGTGGCTGCATAAACATCTATATTGAGAGGACCTGAGTCCACCTGTAAATGGAATATCAACTGAGGGCTGAGCTTTTACACATACAGTTTAGGACATCTAGTGTTAACCTAAAATTGAAACAATAAGGGATATCAAGGAGATAATATTGTTTATTTGTTACATGTATTCAATCGTTAGCTAACATCAAGGACAAGCAAGAAAGGTGACAGAAAACCTATTGTGAACATTAGAAATTGAGAGAGCAATGATGTTGCTGAGAAGAATGGTTAATGATCTTATTTTGGGTTCAGTAAAGACAAGGATTGAATACAAATACGCCAACAAACAACCCTGCTTCCATAATAAATGACTGAAAGCAACCAGACTGCTTCTATCCTGATCACGTATCTGCTTCTTTCTTTCTTGACACCCTCCTTGTATCGCTTTCTGTTTTTGTCTTTTATATTGTCTCCCAGCTTTCTATTCATGATCCAACAGCTTTGCTGCTCTTTTATTAACATTTTTTCCCTGTCTCTGCAGAGGCTGTGAAGTATTTAGAGTGTTCAGCTCTCACACAACGTGGACTAAAGACAGTGTTTGATGAGGCAATTAGAGCTGTACTATGTCCACCACCCACCCGGACCAAAAGCCCCCAAGTGTGTCTTGGTGTAAAAGGTGAGCTATAGATTGCATTTTACATGGAATGTCTGCTCTGTTGCTGCCTTTATTTTTTGTTTGACCTTTCTGCTCAATTATTCTTGTTTGAGGTGTGTTATCTAGATTATTTAATTCATATGTGAGCCTAATCACTAAAATCTCATCTAAGCCTTAACATGTCAGGTTAATTTTCATTATTTTTAGATCTAGAGCTTTCATTAAAATATTACCTGGTGATCCTGCCATGAATGTCCTTATTCGGGCACTTCCTGTTATTGGTGGAGCCAGTGCTCTATTGTTTTCTCCTAATTGTGCCCCTGGTTTGCCACCATGTCACATGGGCTTCCAATGAGGATTACAAGTGGCCATTTAAACAAACACTATGCAAGCATGGCCCACTGTTGCCCTCACAAGGAATTTGCCTGGATTGCCAATAAATGCATATTGAAGGTGAAAAAGAGTATTTTATTTTAAAAAAATTAAAATAGTTTGTGATACAGTGATTTAGCCTACTAAATCCCATTCATACTTTAACAGGCATTGAGATTAGAAGAAAATATGCATGATTGTTTAGCAAAATTTACTTATGGGCAAAGTTTCATATTGTTGTGAGACATCAAGAGGGAGAAGTAGTTTCTGAGTTTTGATATTGCATACACTTGCACTTAAATAAACCTATATGGTTGTTTTTTTCTCTTTTATATATAGTAAGTTTTATTATTTTATCCCTATTCGAAAATGTTTTTTAATTATCTCCATGTAAATGAATAGTGGTTATCCTTACTTGTTCAATTGCCCATTGGATGGCTTACTCTGTTTAAGAGCTAAGAAATCAGGCAGAATCACCAGTATCTGACACTTCCAAGTATTGTTGGATGTCTGTATCTCTCTGGCCATAAAGGTACACTAGTCCATTTTCTCTAGCCCTCTAACAACACCTATCAGCAGCTTACCTAAGCTTGACAGTCATGGCCTCCATCACCATATACATACTAGGGAAAGAAACCTTTAGTGTTGGGCTCTTTGCACTCATGTGGAAAAAAAATATATTTTGAAATATATTTTTAAAATATTCTTCCCAAATATATGCCATATATTTGAAATGCTACAATTTTGGCCATATTCAATAGATTTTAAAATATATTTCAATATATATATATATATATCTATATATATATATATACATATATATATATATATATATTGCATGTTAAAATGCGTTTTTTTATATATTCTTCAGATTGTTTTTTAAAAGAAAAATTAAGTCATTTTAACATATATTTTTACATATATTTATAAATGCATTCCAAAAATGTAAATTTGTATTTTTAGACATACAGTATATTTGAAAATATATTTTTAAAAATATTTTTCATATATTTTGTAATAAAAACACATTTCAACATGCAGTATATATATATATAGCCATATTCCCAAAGACACTTACAGTAGAGTACCATTTACGTCCTCTTGGGCTCACTGCCCACATGGAAGAAAAATATATTTTTAAAATATTCTTCCCAAATGTATTGTCATATATATGAAATGCTACAATGCTACAATTTTGGTCATATGCAATATATTTCAAAATATATATTTCAATACATATATATATATATATACAGTTGCAAGAAAAAGTATGTGAACCCCTTGGGATTACGTGGAGTTTTGCATGAATTGGGCATAAAATGTGCTCTGAACGTCATCTAAGTCACAACAATCGAAGAACACAGTCTGCTGAACATAATACTACACAAACATTAGATGTTGCCATGGTTTAATTGCACATAACATGTAAACATTCACATTGCAGGGAGGAAAAAGTATGTGAGGCCCTAGCTTAATGACTTCTCCCAGAGCTAATTGGAGCCAGGAGTGAGCCAACCTTGACTCCAATCAGTGTGATGATATTGGATGTGTTGCTGACAGCTGTCCTGCCCTTAAAAAACACACACCTGTTTTGGGTTTACTGGTTTCAAGAAGCACTGTCTAATGTGAACCATGCCTCGCAGAAAAGAGCTCTCAGAAGACCTACGATCAAGAATTGTTGACTTGCATGAAGCTGGAAAGGGTTACAAAAGTATCTCCAAAAGCCTTGATGTTCATCTGTCCACAGTAAGACAGACTGTCTACAAATGGAGAAAGTTTAGCACTGTTGCTACTCTCCCTAGGCGTGGACGTCCTGTAAAAATGACTGCAAGAGCACAGCGCAGAATGCTGCATGAGGTAAAGAAGAATCTCAGAGTGCCAGCTAAAGACCTACAGAAATCTCTGGCACATGCTAACATTTTTGTTGACACATCTACAATAAGGAAAACATTAAACAAGAATGGAGTACATGGGAGGACACCACGAGGAAGCCATTGCTGTCCAAAAAGAATATTGCAGCACATTTTTGAAGTTTGCAAAAAGCACCTGGATGTTCCACAGCACTACTGGCAAAATATACTATGGACAGATGAAACCAAGATTGAGTTGTTTGGGAAAAACACACAACACTGTGTGGAGAAAAAGAAAACAGCACACCAACATCAAAACCTCATCCCCACTGTAAAACATGGCGGAGGGAGCATCATGGTTTGGGGCTGCTTTGCTGCCTCAGGGCCTGGACGGATTGTTGTCATTGATGGGAAAATGAATTCCAGAGTTTATCAAGACATTTTGCAGGAAAACATACAACCATCTGTCCGCCAACTGAAGCTCAGCAGAGGATGGGTGATGCAACAGGACAATGACCCAAAGCATGCAAGTAATTCAACAAAACAATGGCTGCAACAGCACAGAATACGCCTTCTGGAGTGGCCCAGTCAGAGTCCTGACCTCAACCCGATTGAAATGCTGTGGCATGACCTTAAGAGAGCGATTTACACCAGACATCCCAAGAATATTGCTACACTGAAACAGTTTTGTGAAGAGGAGTGGTCCAAAATGACTCCAGATCGTTGTGCAGGTCTGATCTGCAACTACAGGAAACGTTTGGTTGAGGTTATTGCTGCCAAAGGAGGGTCAACCAGTTATTAAGTCCAAAGGTTCACATACTTTTTCCTCCCTGCACTGTGACTGTTTACATGTTATGTGCAATTAAAACCATGGCAACATCTAATGTTTGTGTAGTATTATGTTCAGCAGACTGTGTTCTTCTATTGTTGTGACTTAGATGATGTTCAGAGCACATTTTATGCCCAATTCATGCAAAACTCCACGTAATCCCAAGGGGTTCACATACTTTTTCTTGCAACTGTGTATATATATGTATATATATATATATATATATATATATAATATATATATATAAATAAATATAAAATATATATATATATATATATATATATAAATATATTTTGAAATGTATTGCATATGACCAAAATTGTAGCATTTCATATATATGACAATATATTTGGGAAGAATATTTTAAAAATATATTTCAAATATATTTTTCTTCCATGTGGGCAGTGAGCCCAAAAAAAAATGTAAATGGTACTCTACTGTAAGTGTCTTTGGGAATATGGTTCCACGCAAGTCAATGACATACAGTATATCTCAATCTAGTTTGAAGTGGAGGAGAGTTTATTTGTCACCCTAGCCTATTTGCTATCATGAAAAGCCAAGATACTGTTGTCTTTTGAACTAAGTGGTATCTCCATAGATTCCTATGGAGAGATAAAATAGACAGAAATACCATCTCATCATTTATTTAGCACACTGTACATTGAAATATATAATGCATATACAGTAATTATTTGTCAAGAAGGTTGCCAGATAGGGTGAGTATGCAGAATAGGAATTGATTAGTGTAAGGTCTTTATAAAAGAGTTAAGTTATATTGGTATTAGGATTAGCTTGTAGGAGCCACTTTAAGAGTTGAATGTTGAGGGCAGGCTAGTGTTAAATTCCAAAGCAACCTCCACAGTATTTTTTCCCAACATTTTCAGTATAGATACCTTGGTCATTGTACATGGTTACATTGTTAGTCTGGTTGAAAAAAGTCCACCTAGTTCAACCAACAATAATTATCGGGAATGGTGCTGGACTATGGAACAGAGAATCTGCAAGAACAGTGCTAGAGAAAGGGTGAGTATGGCAGCAAAAATCAGCATTTTTATTATTTATATTATAAATGTTATTTTTAAATAAATCTTGGAGTTGGTCTTTAAGGGTTCACTTCAAGTATTAGGGCTAAGTGTTTAATCTTGGTAAAGTTAAGTGTTTAGGGGCCTACTGTATGTTATGTGTTGGATTAGGTGTTAAGTATTCAGGAAGAGAAATAGCAGTGGATGTAATTGTAATGTGTTATGCTATGTCTTGCTAAAGGCAGTTATTTTTTATACCCATATTGCCCTTTAGTGGCAAAATAACATAGTATCATGGAAAAAAAGTAATTCCATTCACTGATGCTGTTAAAAAATTGCGTCAAAGCAACAAGTAATATTTCATGCTTTATTTTTTCCAATTGGGATAAGCGAGCATGACAAGAGTGGTTGCTATGGACAACAGTATTTTTTTACAGTGAGCCAGAATTGCATTGGTGTCGCAATATAATATATTCTTTTCTTGTGAAGATATACCTGAAGCAGCGACTACAATCATTCCCTACTCTCAAGGAATTTCTGATCCTTAATCTTTTTTCTTGACCAAATATAGAATCCTCAGAATTAAAAAGTCGCCATCTCCTTCCCTCATCCGCAGTGGAGTCTATGCATTCGCTTTCTTTCTGAACTTGATCTTCTTTCCTTTTATAAGAATATCTTCCAGGCAGATTTATGAAAAGAGAAATCAAACCCGCTAATATTCTTTTTTGGTGGGATATTGTTTGTGATGTTTGGGAAGCTTTTTAATTTGGCACATAAGAATAACTTATTAATAATGAGAGAATACATGGGGAATAATTTAAAGCTAGTATATGAATCATCATCCCAGCACATTTTATCACCTGCTTAAGCCTGGTGAGATGACCTAGAAAAGGCCGTAAATGAGCTATCGTCTTCTCAGTACACCCTTCTTATAGGACAGCAAT